GGAGGGGTCTAACCGTAACCCAAACTTGCGAGCACGCGAGCGCACGAAAATTTTTGGAAATTAGACCCTCTTAGATGCGTTTTTCTGCGCGAGCAGGGGGGGGGGGGTCCGCCTCCCTCCCCCCCCCCTGTACACGCCCAATAAAGAAACGCACCTGTGACCGCGCGATCTTCCCTCTCTGTCGCGACAGTGTCGCCCTCGTGCGGTGGCGTGGCGAAGCTCGCCTCGCTGTGGATGCGTCTCAGCTTCATGCGACGTTGCAGCGTGCAGCATTCCTCCCGGATCCTCCTCGTCCTCTCCTCCCCTCTCCCCTCCACGCACAGGTGCGGCGGCGGGAGAGATCCCACGGGATACTGCTCTTCCTCGATCCCCCGTCGCATGTCGGGCATGCTTCCCGTGGAATGCAGCATCGTGTGGGAGCAGGGACGCACCGGGAAGGTTCCCCCTACCGTGTCGACAGCGAATCTCACCCGGGAAGCGCTGGTGCTGCCACCCCGCGGCGACGATGCTGGTATCTGCTGCTTCACTCCGTCACCACCTCGCCCCGTGTCTACTGCTGCTGTCACAAGTGACTTCTTTACCAGCGGACGGGTCTCCTTGTACACTATACCGCTCGCATCACTACCACTCCGTAGCCGTGATGGTAGTTGATCCACACTGTTCCCCGCCAGCGGTGCGTCGCCGGCTGTGTACGGACCACGTGGGTGCGGTTCGCCGCGTGATGTCATCTTATCAGTTTGGTTAAATACACAGACGGGGATGTTTGCACGCGCACGCACGTACGCACGGCCGAGTCGTAAACACGCCAAGGTAGCTGCTCCTCTCCTTACAGGTGGAACACCGACACACACCTATACACCTGTAAAAATATATACAGCTATATAACTATACACATGTATAGCTATATATAGCTATATGTAACTACATACCTATATAGCTATACAGATTTATAGCTGCACCTGTATAATACAGCTATATAACTATATACATATATAACTATACAGTTATGTATCTGCACACCTATACAACTATATAGATATATAACTACGGCTATGCTGCTACAATTATGTATTACTGCATCTGTCTGTAGAGTTTTGCTGGGTGTGAGCCACTCGGATGTGCCGAGCGCGTGTAATAATGCACGAACGAGATGGAAGATTGCTGAGCTTAGAAGGAAACTTGGGAGCTGTGTCGCAGTGCAGCTGTGAAGGTCCTGTTGGTAGACCGGAAACACGTGCCAGGAAGCGCACACAGGAAACACCGCCATCCCCCCGCGCGTGCACACACGCACACAGACGCAGATACGCACGCACGCACGCACGCACACACACACACACGCACACGCACACACACACACACACACGCACACGCACACA